TCTTGTGGTGATATTGTTGGTTGTTTTTACGTAACACTGTCGTCATCATCCCCCCCCCACCCCCCCACCCCCCCGCCCGCTGCAAGTCCAAAATCAAGAGGCCGAGTTAGCAAACTCGGCAAGTGGATTTTGAGGCCCCTTATGATGATCGTACATGACGAAAGTGCTGTAAATACCGAGTAAAACGGATGTGCTCTTAAGATGGTTTTAAGCAAGTGTAGTTGGTAGGGGGGGGGGGGCGCCAACAACTACTACTACTGCTGCTGCTGCTGCTGTGCTGCTGCTGCTGCTGCTGCTGCTGCTCGTATTACCACCACTACCACGACCACTACGACCACTACGACTACTGCTACTATTGCTATTGCTGCTGCTGCTGCCGCTGCCGCTGCTGCTACTGCTACTCCTACTACTACTACTACTACTACTACTACCACCTACTACTCCTAGCACCACCTATGACTAGCTACGAGTACCACCAGCACTTCTACTATCTAGTAGTAGCACGAGCAGCAGTCTGGTAAATCCAAAAGAACACGTACTCACACTTACTGTTTTGTCGCATCTGCTGAATAAGGAATCCTGCTGTTCGCATACTTTTTGGGCTTAAAGGCTTAAACTTCAACCATGTTCGCCAGTGGCTCGGCGGATTCATTGAACCCAGCCTGTGCGACGGCCCAGCCACCAGGTGCTGCATCGGAAGGAAAGATCTGCAGAGTTCGACAACGAAGGCTTAATTTAACAAAACATGGGCGCATCAACTTCGCATTCCTTTTCATACTTGTCTGCAGCCGATACTGTAGCCATGCCTCATACTCTACGAGATCTCCGGCGACCGGGTCGAAGTCCTGTCAGATTGGTTGCATGCTTTGCCATTCTGGACGGGGGCGAACGGCTGCCAGCCTGCGGTGCGAGCCTCGGTGCAGGCAGACGCACGTCCTCTCAGATGCGAGATCACTTGCAAGGCGCTTCATGTTCTCATGACAAATTTGGAGTGCACGCTCTGCTCCTCAAACTTGCAAAGCACGTCATCCCAGGAGCCCTCCTGCAAGAAAAAAGGCGCAGCTCTGGGCAATGGCTTCCCTAGCTCTTTAACTTTGACGCACGAAGTCATCCAGAGACGAAGTCACGGTACCTGCTGACTACATCTGTCCCACTGTCACTGCCCCGAACGCGGCAGCGACACACCGATGTCTTCCCCTCCTCGAAGCAGCAAAGAACCTTGATGCAGGAAACAAAACAGAGTTCGAAGCTACGCCGTGACGGCGCTGATCGTTCCAAGGTCACGTGCTGGCGAGGGACGCCTTGATCAGTGAGGTCTCGTATGTGGGCGTTGTACCTCAGCCACCGTCGTGTGACGTGGACATGCTTCTGATTTCACCGCCGAGCCGGTGCAGGCTCTAACCGCTGCAACCCGCTCACAACCGAGGGCTCTGGCTGCTGCACAAGTTTTTGACGGTGCCTACAAACAAGCCGAGGTGGGCGCCAGATGCAGGGAGATGGGCCGCATCGAGCTTCCACATCACCAAACATCAAGGCTGCTGATGAGTGCTGTGAACTGTTTGTTGGCCCCCTTGCTGGCAGCCTCCTAAGCAAAATGCTGTGAGTGGTACTGGCCAGTGCTGCCCTAGCCATGGAGAAACGGTACGACTTCGTCAGCATCATCGGGCACCCCGGAATCACATTGTTGTTTTGAGCCACGAAGCTTCGAGCAGGCAATTCTGGAGAAGGCTGCTAAGTCGCAACCACCTGCATAGGCATAGGAACTTTCCACCGAAAAGTCCGCCAAGAGCTTCCAAGAGCATCCTACGAGGCAGCCGCCTGTCCCATCAACCCACCTAGTTTACATGCTTAACTTCTAGTCTTGATAGCCAGACTAGGCACTGCCAGCGACTACCTATTGAAAAAATGCAAGAGCAGCCATCTACACAAGTTGCGGGAGAGCAGCTGCAGCAGCTATCCGCGCTTTGGGGCAACCCAATACCGAGATGATTAGAAAAGAGATGGAACTGTTGACGCGGAGAGTGCCAAGACGAGTCTCTCAGCAACCGCACCGAGACGGTCAACAGTCTGGCTCAGAGTCCCTTACTCACTTTGGGACCAGAGCCCTGGCAAGAAGCCGTCCGTTGGTGGCATGCACTCGTTCGGCTGCTTGTCTTGTTCAACGACTTGTGCAACTACCTCCTAAGCCAGCCGTGACCCTTAGATTCCCAAGGCCCCCGATCCTTCTTCATGCCCTTGCCGTCGCCCTCTTCCACACCCAGGTCGAAGGCATACAGCTCCTAGGCACCGAAGCAGGTCGAGGTGCGTGAAGCCCCTAGCAGAATGTCCGTAAGAGCCTTGGGGCGCTTCACGACCACCAGCTTCGGCCTCACCAGGCGCAACCGCGCCCCCACACCCTGACAACACTCATACGCCCTACAATCCCTAAACCTTGAACTCCAAAACCCTGGGCCTCAGGGACTCGACCCAGTCCAAGAAAGCCTGCTTGGTCTCCTTGCCGATGTCGGACGGTTCTCAGCGAGCAGCGAAGGATAGGATGGGCAGAAGGGACTTCCAGGTGTCTTAAAGGGGGCGTCCCGAATTGTGAGGGTGCTGTTACACTAGAGTCACTAGCGCTCGCGCTATAGTAGGTTCTTTCTGAGATCTCCCCTTGAAATCACTTTGGGATTTGGGCTCAAAGGTTTGTCTTGATTCGGGCCTGAAAGTCACGAACTTACGCCCAAAACACAGTATATTTCGTCCACTATGTCTGCCACAGTCTCTGGCCAAACCGCAAAAGTAGCAACCGAAAGCTCTGAACTTTGAAGGAGCACGATTATAGGCACATCTTGTCTGCTTTGCACCCGAGGCCGGCACTGACGGCCACGTGCTGCACGTCTACTTTTTCTGGCAGGCAAGTCTGACCGAGCACACCATTGAAATATCCTTGCAGTGCCGTGCTGCTCCAGCTATTGTACTTGGGCATGTCTCGCTGCTAGAACCGACAGTCTGTGGGAGTTCCTGCTTCATGTGCCACCAAGCTCCGGCAAGGCTAGTCATCGTTCGCAGCATGCTTTCCGACAAGGGTGTCGTGTGCAAGTGCTCGAGTGGAGGTGTTGGTATGCTGTTGCCGGGCTTGCCTTCGTCGAGTGCCTCCACAACCGTCAAGATCTGGCAACGAAATAGCAGTTCAGAAAAGCAGCATTCAACGGCTAGCAACGCCTGATTTGGGTCATTGCATGCTGCTGCAAGCTGCAGAGTTTGCGGAGCCCAACTCCAAACGACACGGGGTTCTGACCGAGTCCACCACAGAATCATCAGCTTTAGTGAACAGTGGCACACCTGGCCTGCGGATCTCCGGGCGGAATCAGGTAGAACCCAGGATCTGCGCAGGGTAAGGAAGCTGGTGCACTCTGGTGCCCTTGGGTAGCGACAGAGAGCCTCGGCCCTCGCTGGCGTGGCTAAGGCCCCAGACCTCGACACAAACATCTCCGAATCTCACAACGTCTTCAGGAAGTAGATGTGCCGTCGTGACATGCATAGAGGACTTACCGGGTGCGCTGACTTCCTCTGTTTTCCCCTGTTCTGTGCCTGTTACTGCTAACTACTTCAACTGGTTTGAGACAAGCTTTGGATCGGGGTGGCGGAATATTGCCATTGGTGCAGCGGGCCCCTTGTGTGCTGGAAATGGTGGAGGTGGATGAGGCGTGATGGGACTAGATCCGGGTGTGTACAGGTCGGGTTAAGTGGGCACTTCTTATGAGCAGAGGGATCTGCTGAGAAGCATTTTTGCCGATATAGTATAATACTCGACTGGCGCATCGTCCGAAGCGGATGTGATGGTGTTTGAGCGACTTAGTACCATGACGGGCGACCTCTGGACGAAGATGACGGCTGTTTCGCCCTTACGCCGGCCCACTCTGCTCGGTGGGCCATCCGGGATCTTGACTACAAAACTTGAGATATCCCAACCGGCATCTTGACCACGAACACGCAAAACGTCAAGTAGTTGCCCACCAACCAAGCAGCCACAAAACTTGAGTTTTGACCACCAAGCCACAAAACTTGAGGTATCCGTATCCCAACCGGGATCTTGAACCCGAAGCCACAAAAATTGGGGCACCCTGCCGCATCTTGACCGCGAATCCCAACCGAGATCTCGTGACCACGAAGCCACAAAACTTGGGGTATCCCAATCGGGATGTTGACTACGAAGCCATCCCAGCCGGGATTTTGACCACGAAACCACCAAATTTGAGGTGTCCCAACTGGGATCTTGACCACCAAGCCACAAAAACTAAGATATCAGACATCCCTGCCAGGATCCGGAGCACGAAGCCAAAAACCCGAGGTGTCCCAACCGGAATCTTGACAGCGAACCCACTTGAGGGATCCAGCCGGAATCTTGACCACCAAGCCACAAAACTTCAACGGTCCCAACCGGGATCCTGACCGCGAGGACACAAAACTTGAGGTGTCCCAACTGGGATCATGACCGCCAAGACACAAAACTTGAGGTAGCCCACCCGGCGTCTTGACCACGAAGCCACAAAACTTGAGGTATCCCAACCGGGATCTTGATCACGAGGCCACACAACTTGGGTATCCCAACCGGGATCTTGACCACGAAGCCACAAATCTTCGGATATTCCAGCCGGCATCTTGTAACCACGAAGCCAAGCCACAGAACTTTTTGGAGTATCACACCCGGGATCTTTGCCGCGAAACCACAACACTTGTGGTATCCAAATCCGGCTTGTGACCACGAAATCACAAAGCTTGAGCCATCTCCAGCGGGATCCTGACCACGAAACTACAAAACTTGAGGCACCCCAACCAGGATCTTGACCGCGGCTTCGTTTCTTCGTGCAGCGGGTTGGTATCAAGGCATTCAGTGGTCCAGGAGCTGGCTGCAGTTTCAGCATACTCTAATTCTCGACTGCTTTTACCCTGTAGTCTAGGCTGCTCCTTGGCTATGCCTCAGCAGTGCCTTTCGTCTCTACGGCCCATCGCCTTCGATTGTGAGTGACCAAGTGTGGGACGCCACTAGACTGGCACTCAGGGAGACGGCTTGGAGCAGCTTGCTGCTTCGAGTACGACCCAGCAATCTTAGGTTCGTGAGCAACGGACGCGTTGGCTCACACTGAGGGTGTCGGGGGTTGTATAAATTTCTCACGTCGGCGCGCAGTAACAGCCTTTGCCTCGTAACAGACCGGTAGCTCCGCTTTTTTCGATGTAAGTCATGCGAATTCTTGTCATTCAGTCTTTCGAGCAGAGTCAGCTTATCTTAGTTTCACCTGAGTGCCAGGTCAGGCAATACGCCC